TTTTCTTTAATTGTTGTTCAAATGCATCCACATCCACATTTCCCAAGTTCCACTTTTACTTTTAGAGACGCTACAATATAAACCCCAAAAAGGAAGGAAAGTTTCTGCAGCTGCCTCTTGATTAGTCATGACCCCTCCCTCTTTCTTGGAATCAGTGACTCAGGTGCTGGGTGGCGTCCTGGTTCACGCTGACCGCCAGCCCTGGGCTCTGCTCCACCCTGTTGGTTTGGCCCAGAACGTCGGCGAATTGCTCCTTGTCCTCAGCACCATGTTAAAGTTCCTAGCCAGTGACTGCCTCTTCTTTAGCTTATTTTGGCAGTTGTAAATATTATGATGAAATGACAAATTTTGTGTTTTCTTATTAGGCAGAGAATATTTCTGGAAGGATAGTCAGGAAAGTGGTAACAGTGGTTTCCTTTGAATTTGAACAATGCGATTTGTGTTATTTCTCAATACAAAATAAATTTTTATTTTTATTTATTATTTTTTAAAGATTTTATGTATTTATTTATTTGACAGAGAGAGACACAGCGAGAGAGGGAACACAAGCATGGGGAGAGGGAGAAGCAGGCCTCCCGCCGGGCAGGGAGCCCGATGCGGGGCTTGATCCCAGGACCCTGGGACCATGACCTGAGCCGAAGGCAGACGCTTAACGACTGAGCCACCCAGGCACCCTTGCTCTTTTTTATTTTTTTTATTTTTATTTATTTTGGTTTTTTTAAGATTTTATTTATTTGACAGAGAGAGACACAGTGAGAGAGGGAACACAAGCAGGGAGAGTGGGAGAGGGAGAAGCAGGCTTCCCGCCGGGCAGGGAGCCCGATGCGGGGCTCGATCCCAGGACCCTGGGACCATGACCTGAGCCGAAGGCAGACGCTTAACAACTGAGCCACCCAGGCGCCCCCAAAATAAATTTTTTAAAAACCTGAGTTTTACAGCTGGTCCTTTATCAAAGATATTATTTTAGCCTCTATGTTCCATCCCAAACAGCTTCAGCCTTAGTTTATATTGCCTTGCCATGGGGTCCCATTTTAATTCTATCAACCTTTTCTCATTACCGCATGGTAAGGTTCTAAGAAGAGAGATCACCTCAAACCTCATTCATTCATTTATTCAGAAAACATTTTCTTCAAGCATCGAAAATGTGCCAGGGGGAGCCTGGCTGGCTCAAGCAGAGCCTGAGACTCTTAGTCAGGGTTGTGAGTTCAAGGCCCATGTTGGACATAGAGCTTACTTATCAATCAATCAATAAACAAACAAACAAATAAATAAGTAAAATGTGCCAGACTTACCCTGAGGCTGTAGGGCTGAGTAGGACGCAGTGTCAACACCGGGGCACAGACAGGGCTAATGGAGGGAAGTGCTCAGAGCCTGCATCACAGGACAGGGTTGAAGACAGACTGCAGTTATAAGGGGTTTTGAGGAGGCCTGGGATTCATTCTTGAGGAAAGGCACATTCGTGCCTTGAGGGGCTGGCCTCCGGCGTGTCAGACTGTTCCTGTCCGCACTGCACGTAAGAGGAAGCTGATGGCGGAGGCACTGCGTGGCCTGTCCCACGTCATTCAGATGGCTGGCGAGTGGCAGAGCTGATGCCCAGACGGTGTGGGTCCAGAACGCACCCTGTTTTGTCAGGAGGCACCAGCAATGTAATGGGGTGCTGCGGGGACAGAGTGGGGACGGGGATAAGGGTCCAGTGGACGGGAGGGGCAGCTGGATTTCAGTTCTGGATGTGTGTGCGGTGAGCTGGGGGAGGAGCCCAGGATGGGAGGCAGCACTCAGGACCGAGTCTAGAGTGATGGGGCCGAGGGGAGTGGTGCCATGCAATGGGAGGAGTGGGCAGAGGGGTTGGCGCCTCAGGGTGAAATGGGGAGGTGGGAACCTGGAACTTTCCCATGCTGTCATGGGGCTCCCTCTGCTCGCGTTGCTGCCACAAACTTCCTAACAGACCCGTACTCCACCCCCCAAAGGCTATAATTTTATATTGCTTGGTGCAGTGGTAATATTTTTTATTTATTGGGTTTAATAAAGCACTTGATTAAAATGCACTTCACCGTGTTTATTCTTTCTAGAAAGTGTGGCAGCTAGAGGTCCACAGTTATGTACGTGGCTCACGTGGTATTTCCACTAGTCAGCACTGGCTCGGGAGGGCAGCGACCACTCCGCCTCGCAGACACTTCCAGCCGGCCTGGGTGCAGTCAGAGGCAGGATCCACTCTGGACATTCCAAGCACGAAGGTCCATAGCTGCAGGGGCCATGTCCTCACGCAGGGAGGCCTGCTGCATTGACAGCAGGTGGGGCTGACAGGGGCCTGAAGTTTCCAGCGCACCGTGGGAGGGTTTTCAGACATCAGCGTGAGCGGGAGAGGGGAAGAATGAGGGATGTGGCAGAGCCTGGTGGGGTCTAGAGTATGGGAGATGAGGCGAGAACAGGGCACATGTCAAGACAGACAGGGGTGCGGGTTTCTGGGGCTCCCCTCCCCCCCATGAAGAAAGCCGGCTTGTGATGAGATGGGCCCATAGCCTGGTGAGTTGGTTCATGCTGGACTCCTTGGGGAACGTCTTTTTCCAGATCTTGACTCCAGCACAGGAGGAGGAGGAGGCCTCTGTTCCCCTGGTGATCTGGGGGGCCCATGGGCCCAGATCTCAGGAGAGGTGTGCATTAGTTCTCCGTAGTTCATAAACACTCTTCCAGACTTTCAGACAGTTAATTCTGATTTGGCTGATTGGTTTGACAGTGAGGCCTGGATTTACCATGTGGATTGTTGAGAAGACGTTTTCCATAAATTCAGTAGAATCTACAGTACTCCAAGGTGTGGGAAAAGCTTATGTAAATCAAGAGATAAAAGCTTTTATTATTAAATAAATTTTTTTAAAGATTTTATTTATTTATTTGACAGAGAGAGAGAGCACAAACAGGGAGGAGAGGGAAAAGCAGGGTGGGACTTGATTCCAGGACCCTAGGTCATGACCTGGGCAGAAGGCAGACGCTTAACCCACCGAGCCACCCAGGGGCCCAAAACTTTTTATTTTTTTATTAAAAAAATGGTGTTCACAAAAGTGCCTTAAATGAAAGAGTAAACAATATACCGTAATTAATAGTAATTCAGTGCATCTGGGCAAAGGTTTTTGGTAAACTGCCTAGGAACTGAGAAAGTGAATGATTCCAAGTGACTGGATAAAAAATCTTTTTGAAATTCAGGTGGTTTCCAAGTTTGTGCTTTCTACAAAAATTGAAGGAAAGCTCAATCAAGTTATTAGCGGATACAAATTAAATGAAAAGAATAGATGGGGAGGAGTGCTGGGTCTGCGCACGGGACAAGATCAAAGCTGCAGGGGAGTGGACAGTGAGGCACTGAGAGATGGAAGGATCCTGGATCTGATTGATGATGGCTGACAAGAAGACAAGCGGCTGTCTCAGGATGTTGCGATACCACTGGATGAGCTTCCTGAACCTGAAGAGGACCACAGAATCTGTTAAAGGGCAACAAAGGACGTGGACCCCCCTAGACTTACAGTACCTCCATGAGAACATTCCCTCTATAGGAAACCGACACGTGCCTCCTTTTGCATGGACGGATTTTAAAAAAATACATGGATATAAAATGTAAAAAAAAAAAAAAAGAATCGATGATATATCCGTATGTGATTTTTGGCATTTAACTAAAAAATGTTTACAGAATTGAGCGACATTACTATCATTCCTTTTCATTTCTGTTTATGTGAACAAATTTTCTCAGTATTTACATCTATAAATATGAAAAATCAGAATAGAATATTCATCCTTGGAAATGAATGGATTGAAAAAATAATCTTAACCGTAGCATTGAGGTGTTTCAACAAAATTTTAATTTTATAAGTATTTATCAAAATTTACAATTTATTTATATGGTTTTGATGTTTGTATCTCTAATAAATGTGAAAGTTTTAAAATCTAGAGCTTTATGGTCACAAGATATTTAAGCAATCTATCTTGCTGGAGACACGACCTTCAGAAACTGCGTAGCAAAAACAGATTTACGCGAGGATTGCATTACGTGGGAGACCAGCCACAAACAGTTCAAGAAGACCAGGGGCCCAGGTGCTCGAGTATTCAGATTCCACTGGATATTTATAGTGATGTGACAGTTTTAAAAAGTCAATCTTTATAAGTACGTTGAGATTGCAATCGTTTTAGCTATTTAAACCACTGATAAAACAAATCAGATTTCACACTAAACGAGCCAGACCTGCGTGGACGTGGGGGAGGCGTGGCCGGGCCATGGGGCGGGGCCCGGGAGGGGGCGTGGCCGGGCG